TGTGTGTGTGTGTGTGTGTGTGTGTGTGTGTGTGTGTGTGTGTGTGTGTGTGTGTGTGTGTGTGTGTGTGTGTGTGTATCTCACATTTCTATTTTTATATTCAATCACATTTTGAATATTCTTATAATGTTATTATAAAAAAGTGTCTTTACCGATATTAGAGTTTATTTGGCAGTAGATATACTATTTCTAGTCACATGAAATTACGGGTTCAAAGTTCTGTTATTTTCTGATCAATCAGGGTCAATTGCCGAGTCGCGAGCGTTAACAAGCGGAAAGTTCGTTGGTAAACCGATTGTGAGACCATATCGGTTTTCATTACCGTTCTCAGTACAATTTGCATTGCTAATTAATATTCAAATCACCAAGGCTATTCTATGTCAAATGTTTGAAAAATTACTTGCATATTCGTCAATACCGCGAAATTTAATACGCTTCTAGAAGAGTTTCTTTTCTGAAGATAGATAAAATAGCATCTCATAAACGATAATTTAGATCGAAAGATATTTGATGAGGAAAGCTACAATTGGACTGATCTCTATCATTCTATATGAAGTCCAACAGTTAATCAACGTAATGGAATTCGATATAGCCAATACATAAGCGAAAGGACGTTTAGAAATTGGATCAAGGATTTCATCAAATTCGAAATTTTTCAATTCCGTTTTAATTGGAGTACTTCTTATTGTCACAATTATTTAACAGTATAACATATGCTGAATGAATGTAATTAGTCGCATCAACAGTGGATAATTCGCATTTACCGACCATTATGACTACGCACGAAATAGTCGACAGATGATACATGCTTTTATGTTATTAATAGTTCTTATATTTAGTACATCTAATTACGTGATTCACCGAGACATTCGCGAAAATGCAAGCAAGAATTCGAATATACAGCGATACATGAATATCCTTAATCAGCGATCGGTAAGAGATGTGTAATGTGTTTGTTTAATTTTTTGCTTTTGTCAGATTTTTCTTCTTCTGAATTTCCCTCGTTGATTTTGTCTTTGTATAATACAAACATAATTGATGGTTTTTCTTTATAACTGAAGAAATTAAAAAAATTCTTTCCTTTTTGGCAATCACGTAGAAGAACGAAATTTTATAACTGCTTTATGTCGTATTTAAAGTGTCATAACAAACAGTGTCTAAAATTCAATCATCCTATTTTTACTGATTGTCAAAACTACATATGAACTACATATGTTCGAGCAGAACAAGTCATTATGATATTAAAATGATGTCAAAATAACTCTAAAATGATCATTAAAAATCATTTTTTAATTATTTCCGAATCATTTTAATGTTATTTTAACGTGACTTGCTGTTTTTTGCTTGAATGTAGCATAGAATGTCTCACTATATTAACTATACTAATCTGGATTTATTTCGTGCAGTTCAGAGAACTGGCCGATAAAAACCTTTGAATCATATCTAACCGGTTTGGTAGCATAAGAAAAATTAAATCTATCCTGATATTCAATATTAAATGTCATTCAATCATGAACACTGGAGGAATTAAAAAAAACGATCTTGTTCGCGTCTCTATTCTCATCTTGATAAAAAAGTTATATTATTTGACTTTTTTGAAATTCGTATATTCGAAATTGTTGATGCATTACTAACCTTGGAGCAAAAATTAAAACTCGAAACTATTTCATTCCAGTCCGATTCTAGATTTCTGTTGTACCGGGTACTGCTACACTGTATGGCGGTGTTTTCAAACCGCAATCCTTTTTCCTCCAAATGACAAACAGTGATTGCGTTTTTTTTTTTTTTTTTTTTTTTTATTTTAACAATATCAATACGTCTGTTCTATTTTTTCCTTCTCTCTTTCTTCGTCTCTTCCCTTCAAATTCCAGATCTTTTTTTATTGATTATTCGCGAATCACATCGTCAATACAATCGTAGCATTCATTATCTCGGATGAATAGAGAATCAATAGTGAAAGAGAGGGAAAATAGTGGGAAAAATGTTTAAACTACTTTTCGAAAATTTGCCGACTGAATATCCAATCTCACGCAATAGATTCCTATCGGGAAGTTTTGACCGTTTGATTCCTCGTGAGACACATGGCGCGAGATTTCACCGCGCGATGACGCCAAGAGTATGGAATTCCTAGTATTCCTCAACGACGGTGACATATGCTCTTCGCTGTCCTTGCCTTTCAAGCGCGTGGATGTCAGGCTATCATGCACTAACAGACGCGAGCGAAGTGGGACACGTCCGTAAGCAACGACCGCGATCGACTGAGCCGCAGCTCGACAGTCTCGACACCGTAGCGACGATTACGTCGCGAACACAAATCACGCGTACTTTCGTTTAAAAAAGGCATCATTGACAGTAGCAGTTAGTATGTACAGTCGAGACACAACAGCTTACAACGATTTAAGTGTTATCGATCAAGAGATAACTAACTGAGGAACTTATAGGCCGGTATTTGTAATCGGCTTTTATTTTAAAATTAAGTGTAATATCTTAAAATTCTAATTTGATTCTATGATATCTTAAGACTGTACTTAAAACGATCTTAAATAAAGAACCAGTGAATACCGGTCTAAAGCACGAGTCGCACTACACATTAAGGATTGCGAATTAGAGAATTGCGAATTACGAAATCAGAATGAAACGGATTAAAATTAATTATTTAACTGGCCGAATTCTAATCTCTAGTTCGCAATCCTTATAGCGTTTTTGATCGTAGCGGCTTTGAACTGATCTGAGTAGATTAATGACGTCACATGCTCTACCAATAATAGAGTATGCAATATCTCATTAATCCAACCCAAATCAGTTTAAATCTGGGCTACGGTCAAGAACGCTATTAGTTTCCACAATATATAGCGTAACATGGTTCTCCACATTTGCAGCCGTATTATGCCTATGACGTTATTGTGAGAAATCCATTAAAAATTCTTTCTTTTTATATTTTATATATCAAAAGATTAAACAGATTTTATAGTGTAAAACATAAATTAGTTTTATGTATACACCATACGATGATATAGAGTAATAGTTAGTCACATTAAATATTTCTTCTTTTACTATTCTATATCAATAAATACATGATTTAATATCTGCGTATATCAACGTGTCCTACTAACAGAAAAGATAGTAGTTTGTGAAAAGAAGGATTTTTTGCTATCACTAAAGAAGTTCCGAAATGTACGAATTGTATGTAATTGAAATGTATATCGTAAAGGGCTATCTAAAATCGCGTAGTGTATCGCTTATCTTTTGAAAACATCAGGAGTGGAAAAATTGTTATCAAAGACAAACCCGAAATCTTGTTAAGTAAGGTATCAAGATATTCCGGGAATTAAGTAATAAAAGACTGTATTAAGACGATACTAACACGTACAACTTGATAACATATATTTATTATTCAAAGAGTTGAAAACTAATGATTATTTTGTATCGGACTTGTCGTCGTTCGTCAATCGTTTGAAAATCTCGTACAAGTTATATATTGTTACTGAATAACAATATAGTCCTTATTGTTTAATTCCGAAGATGTTTAATATTAATCTTGTTTAACAATTTTTTATCAAATAAAATGTAATAAAATTTATTTTTTTTAATTACAATTTCTCTTATATTTCCAATATTTCTTCATGGTACTCGTTTCCGCCTTAGTTATAGTTCTTCTAGAATTTGTACATCTCTCGAAACTTCATGTTCAACTAAAAAACAGTCAAAATTTAACATTTTTTTTACAGTTTATTTATTAGTATATATGAATCGAAATGAGAATCTTAGTGGACAAAAAATTTTTACGAAAAAGTACAGAAAAACTACATAGATTAAGATTCGTTGTTTTTCGTAGATATTTGTAATGAGACGTAAAGAGATTAGTTTATCTTAGAAATTCTCAGTTTTTTGTAGATACTCGTGATACACAAGATATGAAAAAATGTTCCATAAAAACTTATAATATGGCGTCAGAAGACGTATACGGAAATGATGAAGGATTTCTTGATTTTTCAAACAAACAATGCTACTATACGTTCCATTACAAATATCTACGAAAAACTAAAAATTTCTAAGATCTTGTCTCAATCTATATAGTTTTTCGTAAACATTTTTCCGCCAAGGAGTCTTAGATATCTTCACTAGTTTAATTATTATTAAATCTGCATAGTGGTATGTAAAAAAAAAATGAATTTGTTGTAGATTGCAAGAAGGAATTTTCTCATTTCTGATGTCAATCAAACAAAATGATTACGTTAAAATCGAAACTGTAAGGATTGTTTTGCCGTTTTGTCAAGCAGTTTTGATACTCAAATGCGAATAAAAAATGATAACCTCGCCGAATATGGCAAATGATAAATAATTCTCTCCTTGCAACATCGATATATAATTTTTTCTTAGCAAATCTTTTTAGCCATTTAAACACAAATTAAATGAATTAATCGTCAATCAAGTTAGTTTCTTTTTACGTTTTCTTCTGAATTTTAATTGTACTGTTAATGTTTTAACATATTAATATCAATTTGAAAAAGAATTGCAATAATTCATTTTGAATGAACGTTTTCTTTATTAATATTATTATAAATGTACAATATACAATTACACTTAGTTCGATATATCAATAAACGAACGTTATCCTTTCACTTTATTCCTTCTGTATAATGAAATAATGATAATTATATATTGCTAACGAAATTTAAAATCTAATAATTATGCTTAATTTGCAAACGCGAAATTTTTTATGTTACGCAACATGTAACATCATTGAAGTGGAATGTAATCTTTGATGTATAAAATTGTTATATGATTATGATCGTGTCCAATATTGCAATTATCAAAGTCACTCGCGTAAGCTTTTTGTGTTTCATTTGTTCAGTTACGAACAAGTTTTAGTTACAACCTTGTGAGCATTCTGTGTGAATTTTTGTATAAAATATATCTATATAAATTTATATAAATTTATATATAAATTTATATGTCTA